GCCACCTTTCCTCGGTGAGGGACGATTTAGAAAACCTCAGACTTAAAACCCACACATTCCGACCTCCGGCGGACTGGCGCTGGTGCATTACTCAATATAGTCTAAATGCTCTTAAAACCGAAGACTCCGGTGCTGCGCAGCCGAATTAGGAGTTGGGTGGTTACGCCCTACTCCCTTTGTCCTCGGACCAGCCAAGTTGCTTGCAGCCAAGTGGGTTAGTCATTGGTCCCTAGAAGAGTCCCTCTAGGAAACCCAGAAGAATAAACCAAAACAAACACTTGCTAACCTCAAATACCTGATCCACCTTGCAGCTTTTATTATCCATAATCTATGTCAAAGTGGTCAACAGGCACCTCTTGCTGAAACCTTGCTTCTCCTATCTGCCGATGTCTTTTGTGTCACCGAAACGCGCATACATGGCCCCACTTTGGTCGTGCACCACAAATCGCATAGGATGAGCCCAGATGTCCTACGTATCCGATGGTCCTAATGTAAATCCTCGTGGTATCTATGGTGTTGAGGTTGCATTAAGTCAAGGTTGAAATCGCCTTACTGGACTATATCCTAGTAAACAGTCATCTTTACGCTGTGCGCTTATCTGACTCAAGTAAAATCGATACAGGTCGATGCGGTAAATGGTATTTATTTGTTTTATCAACATACGTCCCGACAAACTGCAGTCCTGAGACTGAGAAGGACGGGTCTTATCAAGATCTGTCAAGACTGCTTCGATCGGCAAGAAGGACGTATACAATAATCCTGGCGGGTGATATAAATGCCAGTTTGGACCACTTAGTCCAAACGAAAGGAATTTAGGCGGTAGATTTAGAGTCGATGCTCAACGTACGTATAACAGGCAGCCTGTCCCTGACCAGTACGAACTTCCAACAGAAATGCCCAACCTGAATTATTTGGAGGACACCAATTGCAAGCTAGCTATGTGCTCAGTTGGATCACGCAACTGCCAGTTACCAATCGGAGATTGGCGTTCCTTCTGAGGTACACAAATTGATTCCAATCACGCCACTTCGCGGGCTTGGTTATCACTTCGCTTTTCGTCTTCTTTAGGCGTGTTAAAGCATAACAACTTTGGCAAGTTTCAGGAGCTCAGGAGTATCCAGCTAATCCGGTTGGAAATTTACACCACCATTAAGGTTGCTGAAGACTCTTCGGCATTCCACGGTCTGTTTCATCCTCCGTTGGGCGGATTCCTTGAGTTTCCAGCACCTTTGTGTTCTACTTGAATCGGTCATGAGTTGTCCAAGAGTTTTCAACAACCTTATTAGTAGTGATCCTCTAAGGTGTACTGTACCCAGTGAAACGGAAGGAAGCCTTTGTGAAGCACATCTGGTTGAAGGATATCGCAAACCGGAGGTTCAGTTGGGATTCAGCTAAGTCTGCCGTTGGTGGCGATTTGGCTTGCAAATGAGTGTAGTTCGAGAAATTCCGTACAGTTTGGATTCAAGTAGAACATAAGTTTGACGGAGGCTTGGGCGGGGGGACTGCACCCAACTGATGACTTCAAAATGGCCTAAACCGATAGTGGTCTGTCGAAGAATTTTCAGCAGAAACATCATTAGTGCTCTTTCGGGTAGATATTATTGCATCAGGCATTGACGAATTGAGCTAAGTAAATGGTTTCTGAACTGCTGTGAATTGGATGACTTGTTGTTCCTAGAACGAGTTTTAATGAGGAATATTCTTCGAGAGTGATTAACCTCAAACCAGTTCTGAGCAGCTGGGGACGAGTAAAATTCTAATAAGATGTTTTCTTGTGGAGACATTTGGGACTTCATAAGGGAAGCAAATTTTGCACTTCTATTTTGATCCTCCTAAACGTGCACAGAATGAAAACTTAGCGCGTTTCCGTCCCGTGTCACGTTTTGTGGTAGCAGGTTAGTTGCACGTCTCAGTACCATTATTAGAACCTCATAAACCTTTTGAGAGGTGGAACGAATAAAATCCTGTTCCGATATATATTGTCTATTTATCCATTACGACAAATTTAAGTCCTTTTCTGGACAACGTATCCTCTGAATCCTGGAATTTTATTAGTGGTTCTGTTAAAGGACAATCTGCTTGTCTGAATGTTGGTGCGTATCCACGCCTCACCAATCGATTGGTGTTGTCTTCTATATTGAGCATTGTTCGCCATAGCGTGACTCAGGTTTGACGGTGATCACAACAATCGCATACCTCTTTTCATCGACTGTCATGTCTCTGCGCCATGTAAAATGTAGCTGTAGGCTGCTGGTGACACACCTATACACAAGCGATGCCGGTGTTTTGTGACTGAAGAATACGTTATGGTCACACTTTGCTCATTCGGAAAGTTCACATTTTTCCTGAGGAGAGTGGTATCAGCGAAGTTGAATAGGCCATTCAATCGAAAAGAATCAGCTCACTGGGTTAGAAAAGGCCTAATTGATCTGAAAATATGTGAATTAACATGCATACATGGTTCAGCACCAACTTTACATTACAAATCGTAAAGCTCCGGTGGAAGTACCGAGCAAAAACCATACAAACGGAGAGGTGAATACTGCGATAAGTCGCTCTTCTTATTTGGTTGAACATTAGTCGATGCGTCCAACTAATCAACTGCTGCTGCTACTGAAATGAAGCTTTGCCAGGTGTTAAACCGATAGGGTACATTATTCAACTTGTCATATTTGTGCAGGCTAAATGAGAAGTCAAGGCGACCGTTGTCATGACAAATTCCCAGGTCATAAAGGGATAAATACTCAAGTCAGTACGCCCCATTCTGAGTTATGAACATGCGCATAAGTTTACCACAATCTAGCGCTCATTTTCAAGGAAAAATGGTAGTTTTGAGTCCGCGATCCACTTTATCTGGGGCGTGAATAAAAAGGACATCATTCAGCTAACTCGGACTTCTGTACTGGTCTGCACCAACTGTGGCATGACTTGTGTCATACCGTTGCTCAACCCTTCAGTCTTGTCACATACTGTGTAGATTGAGCCTCGTAAATTATGTAACAAGGCACACACACACTCAGACCCTTTAAAGTTGCCGAAAGTAGAAAACTATGTTTTAATTCAAATGCAAGTTGCCTTTCAGTGAGCACTGTTCACACTAAACCAGAGGTATTAAGCCTAAATGCTACTTGGTGAGTGCCTGGCGATCTAATGGGAAAAACTCTAAGTTGAAGATAATACAGTCAAAGCATGCTCAGTTTGAACCGGGATTCACTAAGTGAGTGAACAAAAAGCTTGTAATTTCTGGGTTAGAGAGCGATTAAAACACTTGCTGCCACTTTATCGCTTTTATTACTGCGATTGGCTATTCAGACTATTCGTCTTTGAGATATTCTTGTAAGTTATGATCACCTGCTCACGATGGCCGTAACAAGTTTGACACATATTGAGTGAGGGCGACACTGCTCAAGTGGATAGAGCGCGGATTTCCTGACCGGAAGGTCCGTGGTTCGAACCGACCTCTGTCACACTGCTCAAGTGGATAGAGCGCGGATTTCCTGACCGGAAGGTCCGTGGTTCGAACCCGACCTCTGTCTCTCGACTTCCCCTGTCTGGGCTTGGGCAACCTGGCAGTATCCCAACCCTCTTTTATTTATTCTTCATATCGAGTAACTTTAGTTTTCGCGGGTTGATGATTTACTTCTTGATACCAGTTGATGTAGGCCCGAATCATGTCTACGAATAATTTGAGCAAAATATCCTACATATTCATGTTTCATGAGGAAATTTCCAAATAAGCGTGACAAACCTTCACACATCACTATTTGTTTTCTCGGTTACGAGCACACGAATACTCCAGTAGAATCGACTGTGATTCTCTCTGAAATGGATTCACAAGTTAAAGTAACGTCAACTAAGTTTGGCTAGCCGGTACATATATGTACATGTGTGCTCAAAAAACGAGTGACTGCGTGTCTTCGGGCTATTCTTCTCGTCTCCTCAAATTCAAATATCTGTAAGCTGTCAAGGCACACTCACATGGTATTTTGCAACAACCACACCAGCTTAACTATATACAAAAGTCACCAGGAGCAGAGACAAGAACAGTTAATGTTTGCCACTCCACCTCTCAAGGCCGTCTTTGGTTGGCATCACGATAGACCGAAGAGCTCTTAATATCGACTGTCATCGAAATGCTAGTAAAACGAAGGCTATAGCTGCACAACCCATGATATGTTGTGTGCTGATCCATGAATGGCCTACTCGTAAGCACAATGATGAACCACACACTACGCACAGTCTGTTGTCATGCACATATCGCATTGAAGCTAGGTACACAGATTCTGTACTAATATCAATGGAAGTTTTCTACTTCTAACATTCTAGTGATAATAATTGAAAAGTGACGGAAAAATCAGACAGACTCTTATCTATTAATCCCGACTCGAGGCTTGTCAGATATACTCATTCACGGAAATTATATTCCTTAATTTCACTGTTCACGCAACTGTAAGCAATTTGCATTTACAACTCATTTGCATACCCAATTAGCGAACAGTCCATTCAAATACATCACGGAATTTGGTGCCCAAGATGCTCCTCGAGCTCATGAAGAGTGCTATGACCCCTCCAGGAATTATTTGTGTGGATATTCCAGATAGTGAATTATTCATCATTCACAGTTAATTAACCTCATTATTTTTATGGCTTATCAGTAATTAGAATTGAAAATCAATCCGTACTCTTTCATTCTGTGTAAACCTGATGATTTTAAAACACAGCAGATTCGTGGTAGGGTGACGATGAGTTCCATTCAGTCCTATAATTGAGAGGAAACGGCCACATCACGGGTAGATACGCAAACGATCCCGAGCGCCACCTTTAGTTAGACAACATATTGCACGAGATATTTATTCTAAGTTCGTTTGAATCTTTCATTCACACCGATGGAAAATGAAAATGAGCCACTCATGTTTATGTGCTTTTTTACATTACTAGACCCGAACATCTGTAGAGAGACATACGCTGTAAATTGCACAAGTAAAAGGACGGGAACTTACGCCGAATTTTTCAGTACCGGTTATCACGTCGAACTCCAGGAATATTTTCCATGTTGAAATGATATCACACATAGTCCGCACTCAGCTATATCCAACAACTCCGGGATAGAAATAGGTTGCTCTAGCACGAGATTCACTCGGCTCTCAAGCAAACTGAATTGGCGTCACTGCAAGAACAACAGAATGCCTGTTAGTTCGTATCTGACATGAGTGAATGCGTTAGTGCTGTCAAGTGACAGTCCGTGCTGACAGCACTGACACCGACGTCGCTGTTTAGCAGCCAATCACATCACGAGTTTATGAGCCAATCAGGCGTGGCCAAGATGCCTCAGGTCGCTCGGGCAACAGTCGAACCGCGTTTAACAGCAGCCTGTCTGTTGTGTGAAAACTCAGCATTTCTACCTTTGACTGTCTTAGTTGTCTGTTCATTTCTTTGCCTGCCTATGAGGTGAAAACAGTGTGTCGCGTGCGCTACTCAGCTGTCTCCTCCCATACTCTTCTTTATTGAATTTGGTGCGGCATTCCATTAGTTAGTGAGTTCGGCGATGAGAAAATCTGCCTAGCTTGTAGAACCGACCAAACGTCTTCAACAGATCAACGAATGCGAGAAAAATTCCCGCAGATTTAAGTTTTCAGTGGTACAACGTTCATCTCTCAATTTTCTGCCTTCGTTTCAAACCAGACGAGTTCTTTTTGGTAGATGTTGTCACCTTGATTATCGTAGGCTGAGCCTTTGGGAACGAATAGGCTCTTTCATGTGCATTAGGTGTAGGTTCTTATCAAGATGTTGTCTTAGCCAAAATGATTTCCTAAGTTTGCTAAGCTACTTTATCTTTCGCTTTTCACCGGGCGTTTTTCATATTTAGATCATTTTGCCTCACGATAGCCAATGTTTTGTATGGTGGAAGTAATTTACAAATAATTCCGGACCCATCAAAATTGCCTGCTTATGTTATGTGTTATGTTATGTGCGATCATAAATACGGGGACGGGAATACCCGCGCCAAATCCTGCCCGAGAACAATCGTAAAGATTGAGAGTTGTGTAGAACACTTGGTCCGGTTAGATTACCACGGAATGACATTAAGTTACCATGCCGAGATTTATTGCCCGGCCGTCTCAGGTAATCTTCTTTAGGGCTAAAATTATCAGAACAACGTAATGTCACAGCATAGTTTTCCAACCATTGGATCTCGGGACTATGAATACCGTTACCTTCTTGCTGGAAATCGGTCGGTTTTTGGATTCAGAGGATGCAGGTCTGTTGAACGAGAGTGGTTCAAACTATTGCTGGGTTGAAGTGGCAGTAAGAATCATACTGTTTGCACTTTGAATATTCTTACCAGCCGCTACGATAGCACAATACGTCAGCTGGGTCTGCTTGATTTGTGATATCGTGGCGGTCGGCGCGATTATCCAATACACTTGTATACCACAGTGTGTCTTTTCACTGTCAGAACCCAATGGGTCAAGAAGACTCTTTGTTCTAACCCACACAGTTGCATTCTTTGCTAGTTTAACGTCAGGACAAATGCATTTGCGTTAAAATAAGCGAAACGGGACCACTTCTATTGGGGTCTTTTTTCCCTCTCAAGTGCACACGCATAGTCACCTCACTCCAATAAGTGAAAATCCAAGGTACACATTATCTTTCTTCGGATGATTGGCGACAGTATGATTTAGCTCAATACACTTCGCAATAGGCTGTCCCCGGCAGGGAAAGCGAGCATATCCTATCACTCACATTTACTATCTCCTGAAGCTGCACTTTTTGCCAGGATAAACGATTGTCCGTTTTATAATAAAGACTGACATCGCCTATTCACGGTTTAATGGTATGGTACAAGATTTTGGTAGGTTCTCTAGAACCTACCCAAAAAACCAAGTGGTACTATTTCTGCTTTGGGCGCAGTGAGGACACATGATAATTTTTTACCTTTGCACTCGAATTTAACAGACAACAGAAATCACGTTGGTGTGTTACCATTAAAATGAACAGAGAAAGTTAGCGAAATACACTCATTTGCAAACTAATTTGGTTTTTTAAGAGACTCACCTGGAACCCAGCTGAATCTCTCGTTTGTGATGTTTTCAAAGAAATTCTTCCAAACTCCAAACGAATCGATCTACATCGCACGAGTTTGGGCACAAAAAACCATGCAAGCAAACGTTTGAAAAAACTTATTCGTTGCCTGAACAATTTACGAAATACTTTCTCAGGAAACACTGAATTGGCTTCAACAAGTCATATGACCTCACGAGTAGACTCATTTTGGAAACACAGTTTTCCTATCTGTTTGTTTTAGTCCTTCCAAAAAGCCCAACCCTACTGGAAATACTTCCTGGTTTGCAAAATCCGTGTGCCCCCTGGCATTATCTCTACCAAACGAAGCAAATGTATGCGTCAGCCGATTGCCAAGCAACAAGATAGGCTATTCTACCATTGAGCCTACTGTTAAGACCGCTACAGTGGGATTGTACGGAAAATACACTATCTGGTTCAGATGTAATAGCCTGGGTTTGGTTTGGTTTAATGGATTAGCCCAAACAACATCCACGTGCAGGTGACCTAACAACAGTATGAACTGATTGTAATGATGCACAGAAACAGTTTAAAGCAACAGCATGTTGATCGATTTCTTGGCCGTCACAAACGTTTCCGCTGTGTTGTGTGATGACTCCATTTCAATTTTTATCTACCAATGCCAAATTTGGCACTACACAGTGCCACATTTTGAAGATTGACAGTGAACGGATGTCTCACCGGCAAAACTGTTTGACTTCCTGAACACTCAGTCGTATTAGAGATAAAAGTCGCATTGCATTGAGGGTGAAATTTCAAAACTTAAGTTTGGAAAGTTTTCCACAACAAGGAGGTCAATCTGTCCGCGTGTTTGCTCCCTACGAAGATTAACATACCTTATTCTCTGTCACTGTACGGCGCGCTGTTCTATTCATTTGGAGCAACCCGCCATGAAACTTTCAGTCGGAAAATGATCGCATTGATCATACCCGAAATTGAGTAGAACTTCTTCAACCCGATAAGTTTGCTAAAGTTAACGATGAGATCTTGCTAGCACTGACATGGCAAACGTGCGACCAAGTCGGTTCTGGACCAATATGCCTGCGTTTTCCGGTGATCCCTCCTACGTATAATCCTTGGAAAAACTGAGTGAGTATACCGCGTATAAGACAGCTGCTAAAAGTGACACTTTTGCCGCTGCTCACGCTGCTGCATCTTCAAGAAAAACGACCTCTCGGCACGTTGTGGAGCAGGTGATGTGTTTATGGTTGTCGCTTACGCAAAATCTTCATATATTTCCTGTAGCTGTCAGTTCAACTGAGAGTTATAGATAACGTTTTCGTTACTATATTTATAGCTCAGGACGCAGGGGAACCTAAACATACTGTAAAATAGGCCGTCTTGTCTGTTTGATCGGTTTCTAAGTCTTGAGAAAAGGTGAAAAACTAGAATGAATGATCAATCTGGTTGGCCGTTTTGACATCAAAAGGCGTTTACACCTATCGACCTACTGAAAAAATACCAAAAAGCAAAAAGGAACCAAACATGGTCATTCGAGTGGACATACTATCACTGACCATTTTCAAGTTTCGTTCTGTTAGGTTTGGTGCTTACCAGATCCTCCGGCACTAAAATGACTAAGCCCAATTTAACCGTAAAAGTTGAACCAGGAAATTCTTAATTTGTATTCATCACACGCACAGACGAGGTGGCTGTCCACTGTGAACAAAAGTCGTCCGAAGTCGATGCGTCACTGACTCTTTCGTATTTGACATTTACTTCCGCACCTCTCTTATATCTTCTTGTAATGATGCTACAATTCTGGTGAGTCTGTAGCCACCCTTTCGCCACATACATGATTGTACAGGTCACCGCCACTCGCTGGGTCACGAGATCTATTTTTTTTCCTTGCACTCACAAATCACGCTACAATCGTGACTAACTTGACTACACAGCTCACAGTCAAGCCCTTCAGCCCAAGACCTCGTTCTTTTTTCCCTAATAGTACAAACCACAATACACATGCGATATCGACTGTCTACCGTCTGATACGGTAGCAAAAAGACATGTGCTGACACCCACACACACGCAAACGTCCTACAAATAGGATGCCAGCACAGCAACACGACACGACTCAACAGAGCTTCGCACGTCGCCCAGCTCGGAGCAGAGCCGCTCAGGATGTTTACGGCGTTTCAGTCACGGATATCCAGGACTACGTGTGGCTGTTACAACAGCGAAGAAGACACGAAACCTGCATCCGGATTTACAACAGGATTTATCAAACTGTACCTGCAAAACGACAAGTCCCTTGTTTGCATATATATCTATTGTAATAATTTTACTCAACAAGCGGACATTGTTAGTGCTCCCCGTTTTCTCGTTCGTATAACTAGTTTTCGGGTTCCGTTAGAGCATTAACAAGTCCATACCAAATGGAGGAAGCGCTAGACTCTTAATGTATATAAATATTCCATCTTCCACCTATTTTACACTTAATACGTGTATTACAAATTCTTTGTTTCTAGAGATAAATGCACTCTTCAGGGGCGAATTCAACTGGATTAGTGCGTCATGCCGCATGATACTGCAGGATACTGTATGAAAGTCGTGGGATTTTGAAGGAACCACCCGAGGGATTCAGAGTAGTGCAGTTTCCGAGCGATTTTACCCTATAAAACCTTGATTCTACACGAAAACGTTTTACTGTCTTGTGTTCACTGTAGTGTCCTCGCCTAAAGACGAGCCTCATCTCCAGAATGCGGTTTGTATTATGTTCCCTGGAGAAGTTGCTGGTTGTTGCTTTGAAAAACAGTGCACTGAAAGTGTGATATGCAAATGTGTAATCGCTGGAGGCCGCTATGTAACGAAATAAAATTCTTAGTCAAAACCAAATGAGAAATGTGTCTCGATGTACAAGTTGACAGCTTGTATTCTTCAAGATGTAATTTCCAACCCCCAACTGGGTCTTAGTTGTGTCACCTAATAGAACTTTCTTGTTGTCTCCGAAATCTGCTGCGCGGGCTCTGTATGTTGGAATGCAGAGTAGTTCCTTGCATTTTCTATTATGATTTCCTAAGGAGTCTTGAGTAATATACCTAATTTTTGCAACGCTTTTTGTAAGTAATCCCACTCAAATGCGCCGTCTGAAGTCTATAAACCACGTGCAAAAATAATGACTAA